ATTCATGAATGTGTTTTATGAATCACTGTCCATTAGAGAATCAATGGTACTCAAGGATAAAGAAGTAATCAGAGAGGTTAACGGATTTTACCTTGCTCTAATTATGAATTATTTATGGAGGATTGATCTATATGCAATGACTTTTTTAAATGGACACTTCACAGTTTAGAAGTAATTTATGTCTATAATTTGGAGAGTGCAATTCCAAGTTTATAGTGGAGTAACTATTGGAATTAATAGAATTAAATAATTAATTAAAGCGTTTAATTGATTATTAATTTTATTGGAGCTCGGGATTATAGGTCCATTAGTCCCCGCATTGTCCTAGTAATTCTACCAGACACATAGGGCAAAATGGGAATTTTAGAATGACGGAATTCTAAAATTAAATACTCAAAAATAATTAATTGAGAATTAATTATTATTTAAATAATGTGATTATTTAAATTTGAATTTGAACACATCTAGATTTATCCATTTAAACTTATTTGATAAGTTGTTCAATTTAGAAATTCAAATTAATTTAAGTTTGACTTAAATTCGAATTTGAAATTGAAATAAAATTAGACTGCAGGATAAAGGATGATTTTCTCTTCCTTCCTTATCCAGTATTGGTGCCACACACAGGGATAGGAATCCCTAGCATGGCCGACCACAAGGGATAGAGGAGAATTTTGGTTCGAAATTCAAATTGGAGATAGAGATTTGATTCCTTCTAGAAGTTTGACTTCTACTCTATAAATAAGAGAATAGTAGAAAATTGTGGACACAATTTTTGTGACAATTTTTGAAAACAATTTCAGCCCTAATTGTTAAGGCTGGCCGAAATTCTCAACACATAGAGGAAGGAAAAATTTTTTTCTCCAAAAATTTCACATCGTGCATGCGTTGGTGTTTGTGGAAATTCGAGTGTTTATTGTAACCCGTTTTGTCTCATGTGTGCCTACACACACGTCTTCGTGGATTCTAGGAATTGACGTGGAAGACATTGGTTTTCTAAACACAAAGCTTTGGAGCAAGGATTGTTCGAGGTCAAAGAACTCAAGTTATCATCCGAGTCGGCCTCCAGGTATTTTTTCTAATTGAGTTCTTAATAAATGAATTAATGAGATTAATTTATTCGTGCATAAATTAATATAATCTATAGAGTATCTCAAAGGTTTTATGACAATTTTTGTTATACACGATCCGCCTCTCCGCACCACGCTTCCGCATCCGGATTCGATTCGGAGACCAACAACAACCGCGTTGTACCACCGTGGTTGCATGACGTGGCGGCCTAGTGGCCACCACGTCTGGGAAGGGTCGCGATCTCATTTTTTGCTCGTGCACTTGGTTCTCATTTCTCTTCCTGCACAATACGGCCAATTTAAGGTGAGCTATAACACCCAAAGGGACAATGTACTTTTAATGAGCTCATTTCACATTGTGTGCAAGAAGAGGAAAGACTCCAGTAAGATAAGACTGAAACTGCTCACTTGGCATCCACATCTCAGAATAAGAGAAAGAAGAGAGATAAGGATACTGCAAAAGGAACACCCAAGCAGAAGAAAGTAAAGAAGCAGGATGAGGAATTCACCTACTATTTCTGTAAGAAGGGAGGACACATGAAGAAAGAGAGTTCCAAGTACACCGCTTGGTGTGAAAAGAAGGGTAAGACTCTCGTCATGGTTTGTTCTGAAGTTAATTTAGCTTATGTACCTAAAGATACTTGGTGGGTAGATTCTGGTGCTACTACTCACATTAGTATGTCTATGTAGGGCTGCCTATGGAGCCGACCGCCAAATGATGCTGAAAGAGTCATATTTCTGGGCGATGGCAAGAAAGTTCCAGTAAAAGCTATCGGAAACTTTAGATTATTATTAAAGACTGGTGTCTATTTGGATTTGATTGAGACTTTTGTTGCACCGTCATTTAGACGGAACTTAATTTCTATTTCTAGTTTAGACAAATCTGATTATTCTGGTTCTTTTAGAAATAATAAAGTTAGTCTTTTTCATAATTCAAATGTTATTGGTACTGGTTTTTTACTTGATATTCTTTATATGCTTGATACTGTCACTTTTGATAATGAAAATTTGCACACTAGTGCACAAGGTACAAAGCGAAAATTAAATGAGAATTCTGTCACCCTATGACACAAGTGTTTAGGTCATATCTCTAAACAGAGAATTCAGAGGCTTGTGAATGATGGAATTCATGGCCCCCTAGACTTGAAAAATTTTCAGGTTTGTGTTGAATACATTAAGGGAAAACATACAAAACATAAGGAAATTAGGTGCCGACAGAGCCAAAGACGTCTTAGAACTCATTCATACTAATATTTGTAGATCATTCCCTATAGCTTCTTGGAATGGTCAACAATACTTTATTACATTCAAAGATGATTATTCAAGATTCAGCTACCTATACTTAATACATGAAAAGTCACAATCAGTGGACGTTTTCAAGGAATTTAAGGCCGAAGTTGAACTTCAACTAGGCAAGAAAAACTCTTATGAACTATGGACATGGTGAGAAGCATAATTAGTCATTATGAACTATGGACATGGTGAGAAGCATAATTAGTCATTCTTCTTTACCTGAATCGCTTTAGGGAGAAGCATTAAAGACTACAATTTATATCTTTAACAGGGTTCCAAACAAAGTAGTAACCAAAACCTCTTATGAACTATGGACATGAAAAAGACCTAGCATTAGGCACTTCTATGTTTGGGGCTATCTAGCTGAACTCGATGTGTTCGTTATCTTAGATATTTCTACTGGAGATTAAGGTTGCACCAATGGAGACAAATATTTATTCTAACATATTTTCTTAATAATTTGGTGTGATGATTTTTAGAATGTGAAATAAGGATTAAAGTCCAACAGGAACAACTACAATTTTTATGAAAAATCTTTATAAAATAAAATAAAAAAGAGGTGGGGCGTCCGTCTACCCACGGCCATGTATAGGTCCACTCCAGTCTATATCGTCCACCCTTTTCGTTTTAGCTAGGCTACCATACTTTAGGACCAATATGGGGGTAACACGTAGGTATATAAACAAAGCAAGGAAATGAATGTGTAACTGATGGAAAACGAAAACCATAATGTACCAAAGAAAAATTATCAAGTAACGTTTCTCGAAGATTGAGACATTTGTGAACGTAAAACTCGGGCTATAAAGTCAACACAGCAAAAAGACTCAACAAAATCATGAAAAAGAAGTTTTAAGTACGTAATTCTTTTGTCACAAGTAAGTTGTCCCAAAGCTCCTCTCTCACCATAAGTCAAAAACGACATTAATTTCCACAGCTCATATCAAATTAAGAACATTGAAACCCAATTAAACAAATTTAATAAGGTATAGAAATAATGTTACACCTACTGATGATCAAACATCTTTGATTTATCAGACATTATATTTCTCAAAATTATTGATTAACCGATCAAACTATGGGCTCCGACGACGACGATAATGATCATCACAAGCACCACCGACTCGATATCAACCACAAGGTAACCCTCGCCGCGGTCTCCTCCTTATTCGCCGTCAGTCTTCTCATCATCCTCTTCTTTCTCTACATGAAGTACCACCAGAATCGCCGCCTTCATCGGCGGCGTGTGGACTTCGTGTCTCGCCTGATGACGGCGCACAACGCGGCGAGTTCCGATCACCCGTCGCACAAGAACGCCGCCGGCGGACTCGACCTGACGGTCATAAACTCATTGCCGGAATTTCTGTACAAGTCGTCGGCGGAGGCCGGCGGCGAAGCAGTGGAGTGCTCGGTCTGCCTGAGCGCCGTGGCGGAGGAGGCGAAGGTCAGGCTGCTGCCGAATTGCGGCCACGTTTTCCACGTGGACTGCATCGACTTGTGGCTCGGCTCGCACACGACTTGCCCACTCTGCCGCGCCGAGGTGGAGCCGAGGGTAGTGGTAGTGGATTATGATCAGCCGGAGCAAAGCGGCGACTTGGCGCAGCTGCAGCAGCCGACGGCGCCGCCGGTGGACGAGATGAGCCTGCTGCACGGCGAGCAGTTGGCGCAGCCGGAGATCAAGCCGAGCGAATCGACGGGCGGCTCGCGGCTCAGCTCGTTTAGAAGGATGCTGAGCAGGGAGAGATTGTCTATGAGGTCGCTTGAAGGTTGTGGAGATCGAGTCTCAAGCGCTTCTTCTCATCATGATCTGGAGAGGCAGTGATCGATATGACTGATTTCTGGCCTTATTGGTAAATCAATTATACATGATTGATTTTATATTTTTGAAACTTTTTGGTATGCCATTATTGAGGCTTTTTTTAAGTATATGTATTATTTAATCAGTCTTCAATTATTTGCATTGGTGTATATCATGTTTTTTTTAATGTGTGACCTATCTTGCAATATTGATGATATATTGTAGATTTACGAGCTTGTGTGGAGTTTGGGAACATATAGTAGGATTTTCTGTAAATTTTATGGAGATGTATTCTTGAATTTGGATTGCTTGGATAATTTTTTTTTTTTTTCAATTTACATTAGTCTTACATTTTTTCCCTTATACTTGATTAATACCATTTAGTTAAAGAACTATATTAATTAAAAGGAGTATTAATCATGAGTAAAATGATAAAAATCTTAAAAAAATATATTCTGAGTTCACCAATTTCTCTTTTTAAAAACCCAAGTTGAATGATATAACTAAACATTGGGTTAGATTTGAGAAAATTTATTATACTTACTCTTGGAGTACATGAGTTTGGATTTTAACCCCTTACTCGTAATTAATACTTTTTGACTAATATAATATTTTCACTAAAAATGATATTAATCAAGAGTGATGAGTAAAAATTCAGACCCATGCACTTCAAAAGTATTTGTCTCATCAATACGTTTATAACCAGTAAAAAACTAAATGTTAAAATTGGAAATATGTTATACTTATTTCAAAATTTAGTATTGCAACGAAGAATGGCTATTTGTGTGTTCGTCTTTTTGTCGGGCTATTAGCTATTATGTTGTTTGTTTATCTATTTCTATTTGAATATAAATTTTCCTTTAAATAAAAAATATATTGTATTAGAGATGCTTTAAGTTAAGTATTATTCTCTCTAAATACAACTAATGTTAATGGCTACGTATTTGTTGTTTTTGAACTTAATTGCTATGTATTTTACACTCTATAATTGGTATTGCTACTATACTATAATTTCATTAGATAATATTTACAAAAGTGCCATTCAAGGAAAAAAAAAAATGGTTTTCTTGAATATGGTTTCATCTTCAAGAGAAAGATATGTCGTTTTTAATTAATGTAAAGAAACTATGCATCGCTTTTCTATGGAAAATTACAAAAGTATTCTTTAAGTTTGACTTAATTATACGAGCGTTATCCTATTCCTAGAAAAAAAGGAAAAAAAACTGATGTGAAGTTACAAAATTGTCTATAAATTGAGACATGTCGGCCACGTTTGAAATTGATTCCGTTTTTATTTTTTACGTTTTCAAGAAAAAAAAATGAAAATTTTTCTAAAACGGCGTTTGGCGCAATAAATACAAAAAATGAAAATGAAAGCAATTTTTTTGGTTTAGTTTAAAATGAGAGAGAAATGAAAAACGACTTTTAGTCATTTTTCATTTTTTGTTTTTGTTTTCTCCTCTCTCGAGCAGAGATAGACATTAATGAGTTTTTTTAATACTGAAAATAAATTCTTAATAAAACTACCAAACGCATTTTCAAAAATGATTTCTGTCCGAGATTGAAAACGTTTTCATTTTCATTTTCATACAAAAAATAAAATCATTTTGGAACGAGTTCCAAACGCGCCACTCATTTTGATAAAAGGTCAATTTAACTTATGTGAGAGAAAGGCTGATTTTACAACCAAACACACTCATTACGACATGTCATTTTGATAAAAGGTCAGTTTAACTTAAGTGAGAGAAAGGTTGATTTTACAACTGGTCTTTATTTCTCAATTTTTTGTGGTTTTTATTTCTTTTTGGGTTCGATTTAAAGTGAATGTATGATGAAATGAGGAGTTGGCAAAATATTTTTTTTTCTTGGAAATCATGTGAGATTCATGAGTTGTGATACATGCCTAGGGTGATTTGAGCTAAAAAATTCTAATCTCATCCACCTTTTACCCCAGCCATACATTACAACCCTCAAAAGTCCTTTTGATCTTCAATAACAAGTGAACCTTTATTAGTGAAGAGTGACACGAAAAATGGGCCTATGGTAGTTCTTATTCAGATATCACTCATAGTCTCCTTGGCACATAGGTCTATCCGAATTTTATTTGGTTGATTGAGATTGATTGTGCACACACTTGCACTTTGAGAGTCTTAAGTGGAGTGAAATTGATGCTTGATGTTGAAATTCTAGATAATCTCAGTGTTTGCATTTCCTTTGAGCTTAGAGCATTATGTGGCTTTGGAGATACATGCACAATTGTTGACTCGATACAAAACTCACACTTTTTTTTCGTTTGTGACTTAGTACTTGATTTGTGTTTTCTTTTTCTTTCTTTTCTTTTGCTTGAGGACAAGAAAATGTTTGAGTTTGGGGTATTTGATGACGGGTATTTCTACCAATAAATCAAGTACTTTTAAGCTTGAATATTTGTAAGTTTTCAAGCATTTTTGTTAGTTTAATGTCTTGTGTATGCTTTTTATAGGAATTATAAATAAATGCGAACTTGGATGATTTTGCATGAAGAAAAGAAGAATATTTGCCCAACTTGTGAATCAATGGCAAGAGGAGGCAAAAGAGGATTTTAAGGCACAAAAGAGGAGGCTTTGGAATGCAAAAAACTTGATGCGTAATTTTTGTTTTATAAAATTTATTTCCGCAAGCGTACGGTGTCAAGTTTTGAGTATAGGGTGAGTGAGTATCGTCTCCACAGGGATTGGGTTTAGAATTGCCGTTAAGTACCATGATTATCGTAACTTAACTTTATCTAGGCAACCTAATAAAATGATAATTAAGAGAAAAAAAACAAAACAAAATAAAGATAAAAATAAAAATAAAGTATCTATACACAAATGGTCTAGGGACTTGATTTCGCTTTATTATTCCTATGTTCATCCTATTATGTAATCGCTAATCAATTCCATTCAATTCATTAATCAAGGCTCTAATGTCACCTCGCAACCTATCCCGAGTGCCTCAAGAGGAATTATATTTAAATACCCAAAACAATATCCATATTCGAAATGAATATTTAAACACAAATTAAGCTTCGCCTTTAGAATTAGAAAATAGGAATATTGATCGCCTCCCGGCCTCACAACAACCTAAATCCTAATTTAATTATCTAACCGTTGATCTCCTCCCGGTCTCACAACAACCTAGACTATGTTTCTCAAATCTAGATAAAGAACTCAATCTCTCCTGAGCATCAAATTCGCAATCTAAAAATCATCTAACTCATTGGCCAAATAAATTAGAAGCATTAAGCATAGAGAAACATAAATGAATTGAAAACGAAATTAAATTAACAATTAACAAAATATTCAAAACATAGTTCAAATAAAACTACATCAAGTCCTAGATCTAATGTCTAACTCAACATGGAAAAATATATGAGAGAAAATAAAACCCAAAATCTATTGAAGAGCTTCCCAAGGACCTCCAAGATGAAGGATTTTCGGCCTCCTTTTGATGTTTTCTTCAGTTTTTGGGCCTCTCCTCTCAAGTGGCATATCTTTCCTTTTATACTGCTCAGTTTCGGAGCTAGGGCTTTAGACGCGCGCTGCAGCCTGCGTGGAAATGCACTGCAACGCGCATTTTTGGAAACAGCGCGCTGCAGCCTGCATGGAAACGCGCTGCAGCGCGTGTGGCCTGGAAACAGGCGCGCTGCAGCGCGCAGGGGGCTGGAAACAGGCACGCTGCAGCGCGCAGGGGGCTGGAAACAGGCACGCTGCAGCGCGCAGGGGATCTGGAAACAGGCGCGCTGCAACCTGCGTGAAAATGCGCTGCAGCGCGCGGGGCCTGGAAATAGGCGCGTTGCAGCCTGCGTGAAAATGTGCTGTAGTGCGCGTGGGCCTGGAAACAGGCGCACTGCAGCCTGCGTAAAAACACACTGCAGCGCGCGGGGGCCTGGAAACAGGCGCGCTAAAAAAAAGCAGCCCACTTTCTTGCATTCCAAAGCCTCATCTTTTGTGCCTTAAAATCCTCTTTTGCCTCCTCTTGCCATTGATTCACAAGTTGGGCAAATATTCTTCTTTTCTTCATGCAAAATCATCCAAGTTCACATTTATTTATAATTCATATAAAAAGCATACACAAGACATTAAACTAACAAAAATGCTTAAAAACTTACAAATATTCAAGCTTAAAAGTACTTGATTTGTTGGTAGAAATACCTATCATCAACAACCAACACACTTATAACGACAAAGACAATGTTGACTGTGAAAATTCGTCAACGGAATATTAGTAGATTTCTTAATAGTTTTGCGTGAATTTAATGATAAAAAACGCAATTGAAAGTAAAATTAAAGTAAGAACACACAAAATTTATAGTGGTTCACCTTTGGAATTCGAGAGCTACGATCCCTGTGGGGAGGAGAAAAAATTCACTACTTTGGAAGAAAGTACACGCTCTAATGCTCAGAGTGAGACTTAGAGATTTTCTGACTTATAATCCCTTATTTATACTTTAGGTCACCGCCCCTCATTGTTTCCTTATTCAAATTCGGGGATATTTTCCTTATCTTTTAGGATAGTTTCACAAAGATAGAGATTACAATCAATTAAGACGGTTTCTCTATTTGAATTTTGTATTCTGTAACACCCCGAAAAATTAAACGAGATAAATTAAGGAAATTGAGATTTATTAGTGTGTCTAATTGTCATGACCCCAAGGATAGGGCCGTGATTATTGGGATTTAATTTAAAATTTAACTTAATTAAACTGGACTGTTTAACAAAATTCACAAAAAAGTAAATACATAAATATCAATATAGTTTGCTCCGGAGACTTTCTTTCACAAATAATATTTAAAACAGTCCATAAAGTCCAAGAAAAATAGTACAACTCTGGGACAATGTCGAACAATACAGTTTACATACAGAAATACAGTACATCTCAGAATTTTATAAAACATTGAAAACATAGAAAAGTGAGCGGAAGGCCCAGTAGGACATAATCTTATAAAACATAATAAATAAGGTACTCACGGTCCGAAGACATGCACCCGGAATCGATCATCCTTTTTTTTTTGAAAAGGAAATACTCACATAGTAGTAGAAAATATATGTAATATGAAAGTGTGCAAATTATCATACCACTGAGCAAGGAGTGGTAAAATGTCTGTCTAGTGAAAAAGTGTAGAGCGATAATTCCACTGAGCAAGAAGTGGATCCGTACGGGTTTCGGGACATGCCCCCAAGGATATGATTCCCATATCCCGATCTCTATGGCCACCATGCGTTGTATCATTCCTTAAAA